CCTGCTGGAAAACGTGTCCAGCGTCCCATATTACAACAATTAATGTCTGAGAATGTCTGAGAATGTCTGAGGAATGTCTAGGAATATCTAGGGAGTCTGAGCATATAAGATGGGACCTGCCAGCATTGATTGCCCTCCAAATCAGGGGATTGACTGAGCAGGCCTGTAGAGTGTTCAGTAGTGTAGTCCTTTATGAGCGTGGAGTATTGTGTATCTCTTCACCCTCGGAGGAGGGCGCCAGATGAACGTTTCAGAGCTGATACTGAGCTGATACTATTGATACAATTGATTGACTACCCCCAAACTACCTCCAGATCCTGCCCTATGTCTCAGGCTGCTCAGGCTATTACCAACTGAGCTTTGCAGTTTTCACATTCTCGGTCGGTTTGCTCTTGGTGTGCTTTTCATTGTGTGTGCGAACCGCTATGTGATGGATTTATGATGGTCAGCCAGTCCTGATCTTCTTATTCCAACTCAACAGTGCGAACACTCGATATATGCGCAGAACCTTTACAGAAGCTTCACGTCACAGGTCGATCCCTCGACACGTTTGGCTAGGGGGCCACCACCCACCCTAGACTCTCCTGAGGTGGACTTTCGAATGTTGGGGTTGAACTTTGAAGCAGTTGTGAAAATTTTCCTGAGGAGATATTTTGGCATAATGTAACTGATGATATAACTGGGAGTTAAGTAATTAAGTAACTGCGTAAGAAAAGATGCAAAAGATAAAAAAAGATAAAGCTGTGCCAAGGGTCTACCGGTCCAACAAAGAAATTGAAATGTCAATCGCAGAGCTCGCAAACCGAAAAGGCACTCGTGGAGTCTCCACGGATGCACCATAATTCACCAAGGAAACAACTCTTTTGCACAAGGGAAAATCAGATCAAACTTCATCAAAGCCAAGCCATGCAAACAGGAGGAGGAGGAGGAGGCGGCGGCGGAGGAGGAGGAGGAGGAGGAGGAGGGTGCCGGCAAGAGATGGGCTTCACAAAGGCAAAGATAAGGCACCTGTTTTCAAGAAGAGCGACCTCATTTTCGAACATCATTGATCGGCCGTCGGATTTAATCATGGCTTGAAGGGCTGCACCGGCACAGAAGAAGAAATGCCCCCCCCCAACACCCCCAAAATTCACAAAACACAGAGTTGGCAACTTGCCATGCTATATATCATTATTCGTCATTATTCTCGTTCCGCCCACCCGCGCTGATCTGGTTGGCCTGGTGCAAATGTGTTGTTTGGCTGCCGCATGCAACCCTCATCTCCATTTGCGCTGAGGTTTACACTCTTTATAATCTTACTGACCTACCCACCCATCCACCCCCTACTTACCCATCTACACCCTACCTACCCACCCAACATCACGGCTGACCTATTCACGCCTAGTAGCCTACTATATTCCTGCCCATCTACCTACCTACCAGCCTACCTGCCTACCCACCTACCTACCTACCTGCCTACCTTCCTCGCTTCCTCCCTCCTTCCCTCTCTTCCTTCCTTCCTATGTGCCTTCCAACCTATCTACCTAGCTCCCTCCCTCCCTTCCTCCCTCCCTCCCTCCCTCCCTCCCTCCCTACCTACCTACCTACCTACCCACCCACCCACCCACCCACCTCATACCTGCCAAAGTATATTCAGCGGCTGTTCTTTCCAACGAATAAAATGACAAAGATAATTTCAATTCTAACTAAATGGCAGTTCTACATCCCTCGCTCCCTCCTTAGTTCCCTTCCTGCTCACCTGGCCTACATTCCCACCTACCTTCCTACCTACCTTTCTTACCTACCTTCCAACCTACCTATCTCCCTCCCTCCCTCCCTATATACCTCCTTCCCTACCTCCCTACCTACTGACTGACCAATTGACCTACCTCCCTACCCACCTTCTTTCGTACCTAACTACTAGCCTACGCCACCTACCTACACACCTGCCTACACACAGACACGACTACCTAACTAGCCCAACCTACCTCTCTTCTGCCATCCTACTTACCAGCCTATCTACCTTTCTAGTATCCCTCCGCCTGTGTCCCAAGTGTCATGCTAGTTTAGTGCAGGTGCCGAAGAACAGCGTGCCTTTCTCACCCTCTTGTGGCTGCAGCATTCGCGTGAGGCCCGCCTTCAATTGAACATTGGTTTAAAAAAGAAAAGAAAAAAAGTGGAGGCTAATCGTTACGCATAACAAGGTTTTGAACTAACGTCTGACCGCAATCAGTCTAATGGGAGAGAACAACACTTTTTTTTTTTTTTTTTTTTTTTTTGAGCCCAGGGTGTTGTAGAGGCCATGGACCAGACCCGCGGTGATTGCTGGCAGCGGCAGCGAATGGTTGTCCTGACAGGATAGGCCACCTACCCTACCCATCCCCACGTTCAAACTCCCAGCGCACCCCCTGTCCGTACTATCCTACCTCAGTGTGACCAGCACTCAGGACACTCAGGACCAGACAGCAGTGACAAGCACAAAGGCTGGGCCAACCCCCCAGCCCTAGTGGAAGCGGAAGCGGACAAACCTTGCCGTAGAACAACAAACATTTCATTCTGTTCCATGCTGACAGACCGTCACACATACCTTTCGTCACACGGAGAAGCTGCAGCTTCTTATTTTGATCAGCAGTGTCTGACTCAATCATCTCCAGCCGTCGATTCTCCCACCGAGTCACATAATTCCCATGCTTCAGATTCTTGATCCTAACCAAAATTTCGACCTGCAAAGTTTCCAGAAGCCTGTCAGACTGCTACAGAATTGGCGGGAAACAACAAAAAACAAAAAACAAAGAAAAAAACTTGAAAAAAGAACAAAAAAGGAAAAAGGAAAAAAAAAAGAAAAGGAAAAAAGGAAAAAAAAAGAAAAAAAGGAAAAAGGAAAAAAAAGAAAAAAAGAAAAAGATGCGTTGAATGAGCCCTCGCGGGGGCTTATCAGACATGCATATGTTCTGGGCTGGGCTGTGAGCCCCAGCAAGCCCTGGGCCCGCCATAAGTGAAGGCGGGCCTGAATATTCACAAAAGAGGCCAAATTTTGACAGTTTCCATATGTGGGTACTCAGACAGTTGCAGCACGCCAGTTGGTTACAGGGAAAGGTGAGCCTCCAGGCTCTTTCCAGACAGAAACAAGGGCTCCGCTGCACAGTTGAGCCCAGGGCCGGGTGGTTGCGCCCACGGCACACGCATTGTGAGGCCGACACATCACGCAGTGGCTGCGGAGGAATGAGAAAGCAGTATTGTCATCACACAACTGCCGCGAGCCAATGAGAACGCGGCAAACACTTGTGCCTGGACGTCGGCCTGGATGAGCCTAACCAGAAAAGGGCCCAGGCCCTTAACTGTAGAAGTGGGCCTGGGCGCAGACACTGCGGGCCGACTGGAAGCTACTGGAAACTTCCTCAGCCAGGCCCACGCCGCGAAAAGAAGGAAGCACGCACTTTCCATAAGGAAAGTACCCTGGACTGAGGAAGGCATTCGGGCCTTAGTAGGCAATGCTGACACGCTGCTGCGCGGCTGCGCTAGTGTCTGCGTTAGCAGGCTGGCCGAGCGCGCGCACGGGGGCTGAGGTGAGGGGCGCTGCAAGGGCAGCGGGGCGCACAGCAGCCATAGCCGAGCTGCAGGGGCGCGAAGGCAGGTGATGCCGAAGGTGGTCTTTGGGTAGGAGGCGCATGAGGTGGGGTCCAAGGGGTGACGAGGGGAGGAGAGACAACGTACCTGGCGTATGCTGGTGGTCGGCATTCGTGTTGACGTCACGTACATTAGTCCTCGGCTTCAGAGTGACTCAGTTGCGACAACGTACATAGGCTAGATGGGCTGAGTAGGATAGGCTGGGCGCTGGGCGCCAGACAGTGAAGAGCGACATTGGATACAGTGTTGGTGTGACCAGAGAGTGGCAACATTGGCATTGAAGTTCATTGTATTGCTCCTATCTGTATGATATCTTGGTGCATTGAGCTCTCTGCTTGTTACATGACTATTTGGACTTCTGCGTGATTCTGCAACTTGGTTTTCTGTTTATCGCTCTCGCTCATATTCCTTGCAAAAAGAAGCAGAGAGCCTATCAGATTGCTACAGATGCAGGCAAGAGGAGGAAATCACAGTTCTTTTTTTTTTTTTTTTTTTTTCCTTTCAATCATAGACTATTCCTTCAGAAACCTCTCTCCATTTTTTTTATTTTTTTTTCTTAAACACACACACACACACACACACACACACACACACACACACACACAGCCCCCTCTATTCTGAGGGGCACCAGCCCGGTTACTTATCCCCGGCCAGCATATGAAAAGAAATGATAGAGAGCAGTTAAGCTGAAGCACAGAAGAACCATCGGGAGGGGGGTGGTAAGCAGAAGTCGTACCCAACTGGAAGACACCCCCCGGTACCCAGTCATTGGCCCGATACCTCCACCGGCCCTTCCCCCCCCTTCCCCCCATCCCCAATAATCCCAGCTAAGCCCCTCTTCCATTGTACAATTATCGCCCTCCTTTAATACATGAGTGACCAAATACCTCCTATTCCCCTGCTTGAGGCATAACACGTCTATGCCTACATTATGCGATACTTGTACTCCTTTCCAGAGTTTTCAATCCATTATGCTGATATCTCTGATGCTGCTACAGTCACGTTAGGTTGAAGTTCGACGTAAACCACAGGTAAAAATGACAACAAAGTACCGGACTGACGCTCCCCAGAGTAGAAGGAGCCAGGACCACAAGGCCTTGTTTAAAAAAATAAAAAATAAAAAAAAATGACAACGTAGTTCAGATTAGTTTCCAGAGACCATAAATCTCGAATAGCGTATCCCACTCAGCCACTTGGCACTCACCCCTGCCTGCTCGACCCCTACACAACGGAGTAAGGTGGGATCCCTCCCCCCCCGCCCCCCCCAAATTCAATCCGGATGTGTTCTTAACTTCTCGCCCAGCCAGCATAGTTCCAATCTTTGGAAGATATAAACTCTGGAAACAACCCGGTAAAAGGACATGACCCTTATATCTCCTAAGGAAAAAGAGAAGGGGAGAGAAAACCATCCTCTCTCCTCAAGAAAGTGCAGCAATTATCCAAGGCTCGACTACCGTCTCCACCCAAATAGAACGCCCGGTCGCTATAGCTGCGTTCGGGCCGAGTTGCGGTCCAGATAGACTGATAATGACCGGGCGTTCCATTCAGGTGAAGACGACCCGTAGAACTCACAAGATAACCCCCGAAATTGAGAAAAGGTTAACCGACCCCCCATTTTTCACCTCAATTTATAAGAAAACCATAAGGCCATCCCAAGCAAACTTCACACCAATCTATAGAGTGCACTTCATACTAACATATTATAAAAAAATTACCCCTTCCCCCCCAAAAACGACCCCCTGAATGTGTTGTCTTTTGGAATCTTGACTTGTCGGTAGAATCCCCGCTGTGCTCATATTGTACCCATTCCACCCCTAGAAGAAGAGCCACACAAATTCAGTAACCGTGGTGCGATTTGGAAAGACTCTCTAACAAGATTTCGGACCTTGAAAAAAAAAAAGAAAGAAAAAAAAAGAAAAAGAAAAAAGAAAAAGAAGAAGAAGAGCCACACTGGAACACTGCTTGCTGTATGTAGTGCCCAATGGTGGCTCAGCTTTGGCAGTGGTGGGATGCAGCTTGGCACTACTTAACTGACAATCACCTCCCCTGGTGACCCTGGCACAATTCTTTTGGGCAGGCTACCACGGAACAACAATGACTGGTCACCATTCATGGCCAACCTTTTTAAGTACACACGTCTGGCTGTGCTCATGGCCACCTGGAGAATGCGCTGTGCATTCGAATGGAAACATCATACCTTCGGATATATGCACGCCCGAGCCTCCGTCACAGACACGATCACGGCTAAGACCCATCATGCCGGGTCGGAGATGCGGGAGATGCTACAGAATGAGCTTGAAGCCGCGAAAAAGACTGACACCCGCCAGGGCTTCCGCGACCTGTGGACGGATGGAAAGAACAGACTGTGCAGCCTGGACCAGGCAAACAACCTGGTATGGAAACCCTGGCTCTCCACAGAGAGACAGTGGGAGAGACTGTCGAGAGACCACTTCAGAGTGGAGCATCAGCCCACCAACTTCATGCCAATCAACAGCACCGGACAAGATAACTCCGCCCCTCTGCCACACCCCCTCCTCCTCCAACCCCAGCCACCCAAAACCGCCTTGCCCGCTTGAGCCCGACCCATAGCCGGCATCCCTCCTAACCACGGCCCTTAACTTTCGCCCGTCGCCATCCACCCGAACCCGTCTGCTCCTTGCCACCCCAGGCCTGCCCCTCTCCTTCTCTCTGATGCCGGCATGGATTCAGTCCCCTCCATGCACAGCAGGCACACCATCAAGACACCACAGAGGGGATCAACAACAGAGGAGGAAGACGCCTGCCGCGGCAACAACGACAAGGGCCATCATCAACAACGGATCGCAGAGCCTCCATGATGCATAGGGAAACACTTCGATGACACTTCGCTGACACGGTAGGCAACACTACCTTCTTCCCCCAATACAACGTACAGTCATTATGGGTGTATTTAGACTGAAATATACCCCAAATACAGCTACAATTACCGTACGTTGTATTGTGGGGAAGAAGGCAGCAATGCTAGGAATGTCTGCAGACATACGTTTCACTGCTAAAGACAGGACTTTGAAGATGTACAGGGACGCTGCCAGCAGGTGTTGCTCCCCACCAATGGATGGAGCCTTCAATACCGGTCCTGCTTAAAGGGGATGCTGGTATCACCCCATTAAGCAGGCTCTCCGGTGCATGAAGTTCACCCAAAAAACAAAACAAAAAAAGGAACCCAACTCACGCTCCTCAGACCGGATAAGACGCCAGGTACGTAAGGCCATGTGTTTGGTGAAGTAGAAAAAAAAAAGGAGGTGGAGAAGGAGAGGTAAAAGAAGGGATGGGGATGGGAGAGAGGAGGAAGGAGGATAGCGGATGGTGAAAAAATGAAGAACATAGCGCAAAAAAAAGGTTAGAAAATTTTCAAATGAGTCCTTTGGAAAATCTGTTAAAATTGGAAACGATACAAAGAAGATTAGCATGGCCCCTGCACAAAGATGACATGCATAAATGGTCCAATATTCCTGGCTTGTACAATATAAAGTAGAAAAAAAAAGAAAAAAAAAAGGAAAAAAAAAGGAAGAACTGACCTTCTGGTTGCCATGCCTCCGCACTATTTCGTTGACGTCCTCAACACTTGACCTCGTCAGAAGGATCGCCCTCGCCAGTTCGTCAGCAAATGGGCTCATGTCAATCTCTACGAGTCCTTGCTTGATTAATATCGGGATCTCCATGTTTCGTCTGGAGAGCAATAGCCAAGGAGAGTTTACATAGGTAGCATGGTGAAAACAAAGAAAAAAAAAAAACAAAAATGTGAGCCAAAAAAAAAAAAAGGGGCCCAGAAGG